AAAAAATTAAAAAAATTATAAATCTATTAGTTTCGCTAGTCTTCTAACCAGAGGGAATGCAGTCATAGTTTTTCACTCTAACTGTAGATACTATTTTTTTGTGAACTGGAGCAATGACCGCTCAGCCGTAACCCTGACTGTTCTTAATGCTAGTTCATAGTCACGTTAAGGTACGGACAACAAAACGGACAACGAGAAGTACATTTTATATATTTTTACAGACAAATGCACCTGCAAGTCTGGCGGACAATGCTGTTGTAAATCCTGTAAATGCTGAAGTCCATCCAGGATAAGAATTTATCAACATCGAGCATGAACATCACAACAGAATTTTGGATCTTCGAAATATAAATGCTTAAATGACCATTGTACCATTATGGAGTATCATTGAATAGAAAACAAGTTCTCTAGTACTGTACAAGCAGCTAATATGTGTATCACTTAATAAATGTCTTAAAAAGCAGTTTTTTTTCTGATTTTTCTGTACTTTAAATCCCCTAAACACGTAAACATTTTTATAATTATTAGATTGCGGATTTTTAAAAACTATGATATTAGTTGGAACGTTCTGTTTTATATAAACAATTCATTTATTATTTAAACATAGAAATATGTATTCAAGTGTAGATTTCTCTATAGTTCTATGCACTGCATACAGCGGTTTTACTTTTTGCAAATTCAATTGTCTTCCAAATGCATGAAATTCATAGTCTTTTATAATTATTAAACTATTACATTATACTTAGGCCCTGTCTTTTCTTTCATAATATAAAACGACAGAACTCGTGTTTTTCACAATCCGATAAAGATGAAATGCATTACTAACAGCAGGAAAAGAATTCCTCTCTGCTAGCAGTTAAAAATGGAAGCGGGACATAGAAATGACTTCGGTGATTCGCGTATCTCGAATATTATTGAAATGCGAAAATAAAAATTGACGATCGTGTCGAAGGACGTAAAAATTGACGCTTCGACTCGTTATTGCGATTAAAACCATAACAGATTACACAATATATATTTGTTCACTTACCTCTTATTGATAATGGTCTGGGAGCGGCGCCGTGTCAAGTAGAAAAAAATATATTGAGCAATTCCACTTTATCTAACTGGATCAATCGAACTGACTTTCCCACACTCACTTCATTTCTTGTTACTAAATACACGCATTTACTGATAACGTCGAACGATTGCTGATTATCGGCAATTGAAACTGTAAAAATTGGTTTCTTTGCACGGACACAATTTCGCGGCACCGAACGATTCAAACCGATTCAAATTGATTCAAACTGATTTCAACGATGATAGAACATGAAAGGTGAGATTGACAAACAGATTAATAAAATGGTTCATCTATTTGTCCATTTTGTCAGCCAATGATAGTTCAGCATCCTTTATCATGGAAACGTAACAGTTCTCTAACTGTTCTAGTGCCCTACAGAGAGCGCCACTAACTAAACAAAAGTCGAATTCGTAATCTATCTATTTGCGAGACGCCTGGTCGTAAGTGGTCGTAAGACATTTTCAAAATGAAGTAAGTGTGTGCTTTGATTTGTTTGGTGATTCTTATTATCTTTCAACAACTCTGATAGTAATAATATATCTAGTTTAGACTTGATACGTGTTAAAAATGATTAGAAGCAACAAGATAAGTGTGTTATGTTTTCATTTCAATCCGAAGATTTTTCCAGTCGAAGTAAGACAAACATTTAAAAAGGTAAGCTCGTTCAATAAAAAAGTTATTACGAATCATAACAGAGTACATTGCGTACAGAGCTAATATATTTAGTTCGTAATACTGCGTCAGTTATTTCTATTGAACACTTCATTCGGGTTTTGGTTCGTTAAAAATCTATTTACATGTACTCATTTGATGGGACAATCGTGTAATTCCCTTGATACTAATCAAAAATGCACCGGAAGGATTTGGCATTCGCATTAAATATCGAGCAAAGTGCATCCAGTTCCCTATATTTGCACAGACTGTGTTGGTCTTTGCCGTCTCGTAGAACAGAGAGAATGATTGAGTTCTCTCGTTACAGAGTTTACATGCTTCCGTCTAGTCCCACCAATGAGAATTCAGGTGATTGATCGTCTGTCGACTTCAATGATACCTTTATTGGGAATGTAAATCGATTGAAAGACGTAAAACTCTGTGCGACGTGTACCGTTTGAAAGAATTAATTTCTCAGATGTGCTGTAATTATTGCTATGTTATACAATGTAAAGAAATATGTAAATTAATTGTGCAAACGGTATTGAGGAGTTTGATGGAAGGAAACCACATAGACACGTTTCCTTTTTATTCTTAGATCGTTGAAATCGGTATGAGCTGTTTATTGGACAGATGAAAGACACATCGCTATTAATCTTTTATTTAATTTCTATTAAGTAATACAATAATAAAAACGAACGGTAGATTATTAAATGAAAATTTGATTTCATATCGATGTAGTATCGTTATACTGTGTGCCCATTTCTGCAAAACCACGTGTTCGTTTTCGACGTCAGGATCGAATATCGACGTATATAAGATTGATTCGACTTTACGAAAGGGTCACGAGTCGCTCCTTTAATTGATAACCCGATTAATTATGCATTCGGACTTTGAGCGCAACACCAGTTCAGCAGTTCAAACAAGGGTGGCGAGCCGTCCGGAATGCGGCATGCAAAGTGCCGCTCGCGTGCGAGACGGCTGTGAGCTAACGTGGCTTTTGTTAAAAGCGCTTAAATTTATAATGACCATTGTTATATCGGTCGTCGCGATCGAAAAGCACGTAGGCCAAATTTAAGAATGCACGAATGGTAAGCTTGCAATATCGTTCGCCGAATATGAATACAAATTTAGCTCGGCTGTTCGGGTTGTTTGAAAAACTGTTGTTAGATAAGAGTTTTCTTCAGGCACATTGAGCGTAAAATAATGCAAGGCGATATAGAATTAAACTATATACTTTCTTTAGAGTTACTTTGTCGCGTTATGACGCGAAGTCGTATAATTTACTGTGAAGTAGGCGAATGGGAACGCGTTTTCTTTGTCTTGCATCAAGCGGTGTACGAAGGAAAAAGGAATTATAGCTCACGAAGGCCTATAAACGTAAGGCGTAAGAAAAGCGACGAGCGACGAGGGGCCAGGAACTTTTAGCTCGCGAACGCAGGGAATGGTTCGGACGTTTAACGACACCCTGTGCGGCTTTAAAAACTAATATTTTCATCATTGTTAGCTTTTATGACACGCCGGGTAACGCAGTCTTAATCGAAACTTTTCATAATGCAACAACGAAACACGATCAATTTATTATGAATATATTTTAATTTCTTGCTGATGCACCGGTTGTGTTAGCCGTCGCATTTAAATATTTATTGATATTTTGCGCGCCAGTTAGAAGAATGTCCAGAGGTACGACGACGCAAGAAGCTTAAAGCTTGAAGGTGAGATCGTTAGCGCGAGGAGTGTGACTTCGCATTGTGTCTCGGAGTACGTCTTAAGTGTTAGTTTATTGTTACCCGCTACCCGGTGGGCAGGCTAGTCTTACATATTTAAGCTGGTCCATTAGTCCAGTCGCGTTTATGTTTCCGAATGCAGTATAACGGTTGTGCAATTCTGCCGAGTGTCGCACAGTTAACGTAACAGTCTACCACGAGGATCTTGTAACGAATTTCAGTTCGTAGAATGCGTTCTTGTTTGTAATTCGATTGTGGAGGCATTATCTTTCATGAAATCAAGACCTTTAATAAAAGGAAGAGGCAATCTTACCGGTTGAGGACGCGTGGTAGGCGGTCTCATTAAACTTTTCGTCGTTTCATCCTTTGGAGGAATCGTGTCGAGAGCAACGGCTCCCGCGGGAACATCGGTGTGGCGCGATTATACCGACCGCCAAGAGAGACCCACCACGGGGAGGGATTATACGACGCAAAGAAGAAGGGTTAAAGTAGTCCTCCGTTCCCGTCGTGGAACGAACATTTGAATGGTTTCGAGGGACTCGTCGAGGTAACAGGCTGAGCAAGAAGTGACTCTTTTGTCCTCTTCGAACGGTTCCTTCCTCGCCGCTATTCTCCTCTTTGTTCGAGTCCGCCCGGTCCAATCGGATGAAATTAATGTTCCGTCGTTATTAGCAGAAGTTAGCCGAGCTAATGCTGGGAAACTTGTGTAACGTCACACCATGTCGTAGAAACTCTAGCAAGTCGCGGCAAAAATGGCGAGTTGTCAGGCTGGAGTTATAAGTTTCCGACTCGGTCCAGCTCCTCTCGCTTGTCACCCCGTGTTTCTTCGTTAACGTAATTGACTGCTGGGGAAAATGCCGATCTGGCAAGTACGTAGATGATACATGAGACCCGAATGCTCGGTTTTCTACAAGACTACTCGATTGCTCCGCGCCGCCGTCGCCTTCGAGCAGGTCGTCCGATTTATCGAATCGACGGTAAGGCGATACGATGCACGGATCGAATTATACGCGGCAAGAACAGGCTCTAGGCCAGGTCAAGATACATTGAGTCTCAACCGCAGTCTTCGATCGTTCATTCTCTGATTACTCGTACTATCGCGGTGGTGCGGTCGCTCCGATTTTTCCTTTCGTTTCGACGCAAACATGACGTTCGATCTGTGTACAGTTCTCGCTTTCATAAAAGTAAATATTCGAGTACACCTAGACAAGGTAATTAAAGCGTCTCTCGAAAGCGTTGCCTCGGTCCTTCCGTGGCCGGGAATAAACCGAAGAGTCGGTCGTTACCATAAATTCTTAATCCGAATCGGCGGTAAAACTGAAAGTTAACCAAGTTCGGTAACATTAGCCGTAACAATGCTAGCAGTAAGTTCTTACGGTAACGATGCTGTAACGACGGTTTCCGGACCGTGGCAATCTCTCGCGATAAAGTCACCGATGGGACCCACAAGAATTAAACTTGCTCAAGGGCTGGGTTTTGTCGATGGTGCACTTCGCGTCGCGTTGGGATTAAAATTTTACGATCATCGTTCTCCGTTCTGTTACGGTGGCCAGTAACGAAAACCAGAACCGCGTCCTTTTATTAGAACAAACGTTTCCGGCGCGGCCAATCGATAGCGGTTATCCATCGCAGCGGCCCGTAAACTAATCAGGAATGCAGATATCGCATAGACAGTTTTACCGAATTCCTACGTAACGCGCTATTACGGTCGGTGAAATTCGAATTGAAGCAGATTACCTGGTGGAAATTAGTCAAAACTAACAAAAGCCGCCACCGACCCCGTGGCATTCAGCGGTCGCAATCGCGGCTGGATCGCGATCCGCAATTCCGCAAATGGGGCGGTTCGAGCCTTCGAACAAAAGATGTAATAATTCTGCCCCTGTTTTCCAGAACCCCCTTTCACTCTCCACCCCATCATCTTTCCAACCCCTTGCGCCTTCGCGCTTCATCTTTCGTCCTCCTTCCGTCTTCTCTGCGCGTTCGGTTTCTCTCTTTCTCCACGGTTCGAAGTCTCTCCAACCCTTGCTAGGAACCCTTTGTTTGCAAAACAAACAAGAATCGTTTGCTCACAAGAGTCAGGGAGCGCGGAGGCACGAGGTTCGAGTGTGGCTCGTCAGCGGAGGTCGAGGTATTTTAATTACACGAATATTATCGAGACGCGACGTAATTGCATTAATGTATTTAGAAATTGGCGATAATCGAGTCGCGTGATTCGCATCAAGTAAATTGGCCGTGGCGTCAACCGTTTCAGCCTCTTTTTTAAATATGTACATCATCCGTTTGTTTCGAGGTTTTATATTCGATACAATTCGCGGCGATGTTTCGTCGGGCGATAGACGCCGATTCGACCGTGATGAATGAATCCGCAGCTTTTTAATATATCGCCGTCATAAAATGTCACCGGTAATCTGGCTGGGCGACATTGTAAACATTTTAATTAAAACCTACGGAAGATATTTAATTTCGAATAATTAATGATCGCTCGCTGAAAATTCATGCGTCCCGGACAAAAGCCATCGCCCTCGCGATTACTCTTGATTTCATTACACGAATCAACAATCGCGTCTCTGACGGCTATTAAGCACACCTTTTTCCAGTATCCCCGGTCCTCTCACGCCGCCGCATGCTCCTACGTCTCGTTGTTTGCCGACAGCGATTTCAACCGCAGAAACATTCGGAACGACATATCGATACACGTTTTATCGGGAAATATTTAGATATCTCTCTTGGGCAGCGTTTATTCAAGTCTATGGCAATCGCGGAAATAATGGAAGAATAAATAAAGGCGATTCGTCTTTTAGCATGTTGACATTTTCTTACGGGCTTCCGTTTGATTTTTGATATGTAAACGTTCCTCGCTTTCACCCTCGAACGTTTCTCCCCGTGTTCGACTTCACCCCTCGCGGTACAGATTCTATCCCGGCCGATATTTCCTCGCCGGTTGTAACGCAGTCCAGGCACGAACTCCGCTTTCTTACATATTTATGCAGCCAAGGAAACGAGACAATACGAAGTACGAAATGGACCTCTTGCCGTTCGACGCGCGAGAGACAACGGCGTCGTTCGTATTTACAGCGATTCCATGCAATGCGTGACGATGTCTTTGCATTCGAATCGCAGAACGAAATCGCGGTTAACCGTTGGCCTGATGCGCGGGGCGGAGGCCTCTTTCTGCTCGCTAGCCATTTTTCCACGATTTGGTATCTAGCGAAAAAATATAACAACGCAGTCCGAACAACGGCACAGCAGGATAGTCTGCCTTTTGACCGTACTTAC